CTTTCGTCTGTTAAAATGAATATGAGCCATTTTCTACTGCAGGAGGATTAACCTGGAGAAGGAGCTGGTGGCGCAGCTTTGGAGGATCTCCTGGGATGACATCCATATGAGCAACTTGGATAAGGTTCTGCGGAGTGGCAGCAGGATCACACTGTCACTGGTGAGCAAACTCACTCACACCAATAAGAAACAATTCTTTAGAACAACAAGCAAAAGACGTTTGGAGTCAAAAACATCCTCCCAGCTTCCTGTGAGGCCAGCTTGCCGCATTGGCAGGTACTTCCTAAAGGTCTGTAACTGCACAATCTGACCAACTTTCTACATCAAACTTGCTATGAGAGCAGCTTAATACCAAAAGCTCTCTGCTCTGAGAGAAACAGGAACCAGAACTAAAAACCCAGACAGAAAAAGCTCAGGTAGTTCATTGTCATTCCGTTCCCCTGCTAACATAAAACTCTCCGGTCGTTCCTCAGAGAGGCTCCAACTGCGGCTCCCTGATGACCGGAGATGGAAACCTCCAGATCTTTGCAAAGACCGGATACTACAAGGTGAGTTTTCATCTGCAGTGAGGATGAATGATGCGAGGAACATGGAATCATCTTCGATATCCTCTCAGCCTCTTTATCATACGTCCATGTCCCTTCATGTTGTCACACTTGACCAAAACTCGCGGGTTTGCGACCATCCGATGCAGAGTCAGGATTTTTTTTTATGTCCGTGACGACGGTTGCAGTACCCCTGCGTGCCATTCAGAGGAATCTCTACCTCTGCATGGCACAGTGGGTTCGTCCATGGTTCTCAGGCTCCCAGATTTAGCCGTATGCTTAGCAGCTCAAACACAGGATCCCCACTGTGACTCGGCAGGATGGGTCAGCATCAGATCCACACCTCAGACAGAATAGATTGACATCTCTGGAACAATAAGGCGAACTCCACTGACCGGTTCGAAGCCCCTCTGGTATTTTAAGAAGGATTCTGAAGAAGAGCTGCTCAGATTGTTGGAAGCCTCAGCAGATTGGACTTCTTAGCTTAGTCCCACTCTGTAGATCTTCCCTTAACATTTCCGCTGTCTTCGTTCTTTTTCTCCAATGTAAAGATGTTTCCTGAATCCTTCTCAGCAGGTTTTCTCTCTGCTCTTCCTTCCAGGGGAACATCGTGGCCATTAAATACTCAAACAAGAAGCGGATCGAGCTCAACCGAACGGTCCTGTTTGAGCTCAAACACGTGAGTGAACCAGTCAAATCTGAGCCGTGTGCTTCACCGCGAGGCGGGAGACCTTCTCAGATCTAAATGTTAGGTCGAGTTCTAGCTCTAGGAGAATGTTCCGGAACATGTCTGGATGAAATGTTGTTTTGTTCAGATGAGAGATGTTCAGAACGAACACCTGACTCGGTTCATCGGAGCGTGCATCGACTCGCCAAACATCTGCGTCATCACAGAGTACTGCCCCCGAGGCAGCCTGCAGGTGAGCACACCTGTCCGCTTTCTGTCCATTTACCATATTTTCTGGACTATAGAGCGCACCAAGTACATTAAGCCACACCCACTACATTTTTTGAAAAAAATAAATTACATAAATAATCTGCACTGGGCTATAAGCCGCTGATATCTCTTGAATTGTCTCCCACCAAACCTGTAGGGGGAGCTCTACATATGGCCCCTGGAGTAGGGGCTAAGAAGAATGCTAGCTCCTGTTAGCTTGTTAGCTCGCAGCAGTAAGAGCTTAAACTGATAAAATGCGGCTTCGGTAGGAGTTGATCCCAGTCTCTTCATTGGTTCGGCAGCTTTAATGCGGAAAATTCACGTCAAACTGTGTGAATTCGGGACATTTGTTCTCCGTTGCTAGCATGGTCTAACCTGACTCCGCCAGATGGATTAGCTCCCCATATCCATCTGGAAACCTTCCGTTG